AACAGCTCTGATTCTGTTACGTAACAAATATAACATATCATTGCACATACACTGCAAGTGATCTTAATATGAGCAGCCTTTTAAAAAAAATATATCGTAATTTCGAGCTACTTTAATCGATAAATCGATGACCCACTTGTTAAAATGAACTTATGTGATTATTTTATAACCTTGCATTACGGACACGACGACGCGACGTATGGATTGTGGTCGATCGTTTTCTGTTGTGACCCCGTGTTATTTTATTGTAAAACTTGTTCACTACTTGTTGACGGAAATTGTTAGTTACCAATGGTAAATATTCCTTAAATTATACATTAATAATAGGTTGAGGAATCATTCACATTAAGTTTGTGTTAACTTGTAATAAAATCTCTTTGGCTATTTTTTTATTACTATTTGTATCTGGCTGGTTTCAGTGTCATAGAAAGATTAAATTAAAAAAAATACAAATAATTCTAAATTCAATTAAGGAAAATGTGTGGTGTGTAATTTTCGTTTGTTTTTTTGTACTATGAAGATAGGGAAAAAACACTTCTTCATTGTGTTTTAGTTTATTTAAAATAGAATGAAGAAATCAGATACATTTTATAATTTCACTACTAAAATAGGTAAAAATGCAATGTTTATGGATATAGTGCAGGCAGTGTTCGTGTGAGTATCACAAATTTGGTTTAAGCCTTTTTTATATTTTATTTAATCTTTGTATCACCGTTACTTATTGCTATGTCATCGTATTATTCAGACAAATGCTATGGACCAAATGAAGCAGTGTAGTAATGTTATGGCAATAACTACAAACAAAAGGATACCTATAAATATAATTTCCTAACATTGTTCTACAGTTTTGTTTTGATATCAACATAAAATCGCATTGGAACTCGGATTAACTGGACTAAGAATTACTTTGAGAAATATTTGCACATACTTATGACAATATTATCTCGTGTGAAGATTTTAATTACAAAATGCACAATAGATAACTTAAGCATCTATTGATGGTATAAACTTTAAGATACAGTGTTCAAGTACTTAACTATTTGTGGCGTCTCTAGGTTGGTTAATACTTAGGTTTTACTCTATAAACTTGTGAAGAAAATTGTTATACTTGAGTAAAATGGTCGAGCCACGATTTCTCGCTTACGAAATAACAAGTATTATCGGCGATCGGCCATATGAAAGCTATTCCTGCTTATATATCGTGACCAGTTTGTCTACTAGGAGCCTGTCCCTGGCCTGCGCGGGCGCATTTCTATGCACTTTCTCTGCAGCTACCCTCGCGGACCCCGAGCAGATTGAATGTATCGATAGCGTTGCAAGCTGCACTTTTCTGATTAACGACTCTATTATAAAATAACCGTTTTATCATTGATTAATTACGGTCATAAAACTTATCTATAGCTTTCGCTTATTTATTTTATAGGTCTTTAACTAACAATCGCTCTTTATCCGGAAACCATCGGGTACAGCTTGGTAAAAGTAAATAAGTATTGCGTCTGTTATCTCTGTCCGCGAAATCTACATTTACGTACTAGTAAATAGAAAATATTTTAGTGCACTTGGCGTTGTAAAGTGTGATGCATATTTTAATATTGTAAAGTTATTATACGTTTAACGACTTCAGTTATAAGAGCATTTATTAAATGTAATGGTTGTACCAATTAGTGGTTATACGATCATGTAATACAAACTTGATTATTATAACAATTTCTTTGAACTCTCGACCATAATTTTTAGAATGTATGTTCGTTAAGTAGTAAACACAACTTACGATTGTTTTTCTTGGCACTGTATCCGATTTTCTTGTATTTTAGTTAACAATCACGTTCCCTTTAACATAAGTTTAATATATAAACCAATTGATCAACCGTAGTTAATAGCCACGTACATTATCTCACAATCGTACTTGTTCATTATCCCTTCTGAAATAATGCATAAGTTGACGTGTTTTCCTGTTATTTCGAAAGAAAAGACCATCGTTGGCTTTCTTTTCTGTTATCTTTATCTATCCTGAGAAACAAATGTCTGTGCATCTGCATAGTTAAGTAAATAGTACCCAAGCCTTAGGTAATAGGAAGCGGGCTGCATTATTTGACGCAATACACTAAGTAAAGCTTTATGATTTCTTTATCTTTCATAACAAACTATAGTTACGACAGTCTCCACTGCTTTTTCTTAGCAATTTTCTAAGTAATAAGTTATAGGATTACTGATTATCTCGAACAACACGCTGGCTATTTCTTAATAAATGTAAGTACTGTTAAGATTCTAGGGTTTTTCAATTGACAATTATTCTCATCTTTTGAATTAGCGGCAATTTGTATTATTTATTTATTATTGCTTAAAAGGTACATTTTACATTATAAAAAGTATAAAATGTCCAACAAAACTGTATACACAGTTTGTCTGTTGGATCAGATTTCAAAAACTAACTTAATAGAACCTATAGTAAGTCAATAGGACTTACTATAGGTTCTATTAAGTTTACAATAATAATAAAATTGATAATAAATGCGATGGACGCAAATTAATATATTAGTATATATTAGTATTATATATGTTAAGTTATATAAGTAGTATTACCAGGTTAATATTAAGTACGTAAGTATGAAAATCAAAGATTAGATAGATATAATCGGAGTATAGATATAGCATAAGTAAGAAAAGTAGTCGGTAGTTAGGTAGTAGTAGTAGTTAGTAGGATAGTAATACAATAAAAAGTTAAGGCAGTGTACTGAGTAGGTGTTTTTTTAGTTTTATCTTAAATTTATTTTTCCTATTTTCGTCTCTGATGTCGTCTGGTAAGCTACTGAGTACGCATGGGACACGCTTTTCTAGCGTTCGGTCCCCATAAACATTATTAACTCTGGGTACTACATATTTACCAGACGACATCGTTCGGGTGTTATAACTATTACTAACATTAATCAATAATGAATTACGCTCTCGATTACCATGGCTATTAGTTGCGAGTAAGTACTTATGTTTTATGCTGACCGGTAATACTTTGCAAATTTTGTATAGTTTATAATAGTCTGTTTTATGTTTATTTTTAGTTTTTTTATCCACTAATAGTTTTAAGAACCTAATTTGTATATTTTCTAATTTTTGTAATATTTGAAGGTTTTGTAATATTTTATTTTACTAAGAATTTCTTACATAAATAGTGAGAGCGTGATAAAATAGTAGGTAAACAATAATATTTTTGTTAATAAGGTTTGTTTTTGATTGATCAACAAAACATCTGTTAAATTTGAATACAAAAAATGTAGGTAGTTCCTATTTGTGACTTGTAAAAAAATGTTTTTACTGAAATTCCAGGAAATTCACAACAAGTCAATGAAGTTCAACTTATTATTAATGCGAACTTTTCTTCCTTAAAATATTTCGTATTAAAAACGTAAATAACAGAGAAAAATGAAATAAAAAGACTAGAAGGAAGGAATTATCCAATTTTCGCTTACTCAAAGTTGCCGCCTGAAGAAACGAGACATTTTTTTGTAATTCGCTTTTCTTATTTAAAAATGTATTAGATCTAAATAAATTACAACAAAAGAATAAGGTTCTTAAACATAAGGTCGTGTATCAAAATCTTTGCTTTTTTAATTCATCAAACTGCGTTCGCGCACCTATCGTTCTTCCTTTGTGTCTCCAATTACCATAATTAAATGGTTAATACAAATGGCCGACAAGACTTATGATTTTTTTACGACCATCAATTTGCTAATCCTTGTGAATAACAAGTCAGTTTTAATATGTTATCCAGCTAATGGTTAAGGCTGCTTAGACTTTAACATTTAAAAAAGTTCCATACCTCAAGGTTATACTTTTAAAGATTAAAAAGGCTTAGCTATTGATTTATGGTGATAAATATGTTTGCACTCCGTATAGCTAATAAGGTACTAAGTTTATTAGTTAGCAAGCCTATATGATTAATGATAATTAATATGATTCTCGTAGCTAATAATGCGTATACGCATATTAAAAAATAATTTAATTTTAATAATGGAACCTTCTAGAAAGAAAAATGTTAATATTGCCTACATGCATCATCATGATTTATCATAAATATTGATATTATTCTCATGAATATATATTGAAGATTCTGCATTTTTTTATCCCACTTATATATGTATAGGCTTACGCACATCCTAAAGGTGATAGTTGGAGTTCTGCTCGCAAATTAAATAATTGGAACTCTGAAATAAACTGTATTTTATTAAAAATAATTTAAAAAGGAAAACCAATTATAATGTGCTTGATAATACAACAAATATGTTTGGAAAAAAGATTGAATATAAATTATTTTGTATTTTTAGTAACTATCTTAAAACATATTATATTTTTTATTATAACTTTCGTGAGACATTCTAAATTAATTATTATATTTTCGGCTTACTCCCGTAATAATTTGACGAGATACTCGACTAGTCCAAGCCATGCTATAGAGGCCCATATTCAGCGCGACAGCCGCCGCGTCGCGTGTCGCGGAATGCTGCTAATGAATATGGGCCTCTAGCATGGCTTGAAACTAGTCGAGTATCTCGTCATATTAAATTTATTGTAAATAACGACTTAGTCACTCGGACTCTTGAGCTATTCAGTCGGCTGCGTGACGTCGCCGCGACGTGTGCGCTTCTCTTGAATAATAGTTCCTTTGTGACTTGAAACTAGTCGAGTTTTTCTCAGTTAATTTTATTTATTTAAACTTTATGCAACAAAACATTACATAGGCGGACTTAATGCCGTAGGCATTCTCACCAGTCAACCTTAGGGTGATGCAGAGAGAGTATGGTAGGTGCAACAAGAAGAGAACTTTGAGACGATAAAAAGATTAAGAAGTTAATTCACGTGAGTTGGTCGTTATTTTCAATAAAACATTTTTTGATGGAGATTCTTTAATTCAAAATAAACCTTATCCTCTTTAACAACTTCAGTCTTTAGTAGAACTACCTATAATTAATACTATAATCTAAGGTTCATATTTGTTTGTTCTCCAGGCCATCATGCCTCCCACTCCGGACTACAGTGTGGACCTAGACCTGGGCGAGCCTCCACCGGAGCTGATGGAGTACGCTCATCAGCACCTTGGCGAGAATCCCAACACCAAGCTCCAGGCTATATATGAACTGAGGGAAATGATTTATGGTAAGAGAAGTACTTTTTTGTGCTAGCTTCATTGATTCAAGTTGTCCGATTATGGAAGAAACAAAGTAAACAGATTTTTAAATAAAGAAATCTGGTTTAGTATGTATCATCACATCAGTAGTAGTATCTTTAGGTGCCCGCAGTGGTGTCTAGATAACTCGGAAAAAGATAATTGGTACTTGATAGGATCGTATCTGTACTCTTTATAGGTACAATTAGAAGCGGGCGCATTATCATAAAGATGCAGTTAGGTAAAACTCTGTATTGTATTGAGAATTTGTTCTTCTCTACCAAGCGGTAATGTATAAAAGTATATTGTTATCAAAATTTATTTCTAAACTATTGTTGTAAAATCGAAACAACATTGATGCGAAACAAGGTCGTGAAGTAAGGTCTTAGAATTGATTCAAGATTAGTGCAAAATACATAGTTCTGTACATTATTTTCAATTTAACTTTATTATGTTACACAATAAAAACATGAATAGGGGTATATAGTAACAGTAACCGCTGTCCATTAGTCCATCCGAGGTCCTTTGTTGCGGTTATCCGGTGAGTCAGTAACACGCACGTGTGCACTGCTATAATGCATATACGGGGATTAAATTACGTTCCAATTAATTATCGCATTGGAAACATAATGTGGTATAAAGACAAGAGTGGAAATGAATACAACGCAGATTAAGGTTATGAGAGATAAAACTTAAGTTGACTCGTTCGTGAACGGGCGCCGTCAATTGGGACTGGTCAGCTCCGGACTGTTTATTTTCCTTAAGGTTATTTTCTTTTTATGTTAGCGTTACACTGTTCTCACATAATCAAACCAACTAAATAATGTGTCAAAAAATCTTTATGTGACACTGATTTAAAAAGAGTACCTAACCATGGAGTTTCTTGCTCGTTCTTCTCCATCGGAATCTACACTTTGACTGACAGACTGACACTTAATATCTTTAAAATTTTGTTTGACGTTCATAAGTGCCTGTATGGGTCTAATTGAAATAAATGATTTTGGCTTTTTTGACTTTAAGGACGTGATGTGTAGATGTTGAAACAAGTAAGTGTTATAAGATTGACGTGGTAGCCCTTTTGTTCAATTATTTTAAGTTGACTCAATGTACCTTTTGGTTTATCCTACACGATCGCGCCCTTAGAAAATGAAAATCAATTAAATAAAATATTATGCAAAAAAAATAACTACTTTACAATAAAATAGATTTAAAGTGTGCAAAACTTTTAGGTTGTAATATTTTTTAAAGCAGCTATCGAAATCTTGTGTGCTGGTCGATATTACTTAATATAATATAATAATATGTTATAATATAAGTAAGTACTTTACTAGGTAACGAAATCCTTATAAGAGTGATCAGGAGAAAACATACGAAGTTTTAAAGATACATTTTTATTGATGAGACAAGTACTGAGATACATGTAATGAGAACTCTTGCGTTGCACAATGCAACGGCTAATGCATAGATATTTGAACAATAGGACGTGGGCGAGAACTGAGACAAGACTGTCATGACCGTGACACGAATTAATAGACCAATGTGCTTTAAAGCCTAGTTAGTTTGATGCATATCACGACTCGAGACTCGACACGAGTCGTGGTGGCCCAGAGGTTAAGGAGCCCGCTTCTCATTCATGAGGGTGTGGGTTCGACACCTGGCAAGTACCAATGTGACTCCCGGGTTGTATGTACTTTCTATGATCATTTAGACACCACTGCCATACGGTGAAGGAAAACATCGTGAGGAAACCTGGACTTATAATTTCTAATTATAAGTTTGAAATCGCCAACCCGCATTGAGCAATCGTGGTGATTAATGCTCTAACCTTCTCCGTATGAGAAGAGGCCTTGCTCAGCAGTGGGCACTTATAGGCTGATGATGATGATGATGATGATATCACGACTTGCTTCAACTAAAGATTAAAATAAATGGTAACATATTGCGATATAAAAACATTAATTTGGAACAAGATGTCGAGAGTTAGTCCTAGTATTAGTGCACGTCACGTAACATCAAAATATAATAAAAACACTTTCAATGTTTTTTTGCCGTGTAAGTGAGGTTATTAAATGCCCAATTTCCTCACCCCTATCGTGGATATCCAAATCCCCAATCATAAATCCCTAATAATCAACAAAAGGCAGGCTACGCTTTTTTGTAAGTCCTTTAGTACTACGAGTATAGCGGCACCCATTGCTTTCTATTAGGCCATTTGTCAGTTAGTTAACCTGTTCTATTAAGAAAAGTATTAGGTATCATGGAAAAGCCTGGAGAATAATTAATTATTATTAATGTCACCACGATTGCATCATATAATTCCATACGTTTATTAAGGCTGTTACTTCCATATCAGTTCGGTGGCAATTTATATCATGGAAAGTTCTAATTATCACTTTTACTAGACACATTTTCCAAATATCTTTGACTAAAAATATTAAAACAAGTTTGTACAAAAAAATTTACTTGAGCCTCAAAAATATTACATAAAACTTTCCTCTATAACGCGAACCTTTTCGAGACCGCAGCTGGCTCATTTACTTTTGTGGGTGGTGAAACAAAAGCATAACTACCCTTACCTAGTTATCCTCTACATTATTCAGATGACAAAGGTTGTGTGTCGACAAAAAGTCGAGCCTCATAAGTAAGAGCACTTTTAAATAAAGATACAATAGTCGTACGGACTAGTTCGTGCAACCAACAAAATCTATTTATCTGTATGTCACGTTGGTTGCGTAACCAGCCTTGTTATAGAAGACCAAATCAACCCGTTGTGCGACTAGTCAACGGACCATCATCATTAGATCATCAGCCTATAAGTGCACACTGCTGAGCATAAGCCTCTTCTCACAAGGAGAAAAATTTAAGCACTAATTACCACGCTTGATCAAGGCATATTGGCGATTTCAAACTTATAATTGGAATTTATAAGTCCAGGTCTCCTAAAGATGTTTTTCCTTCACCTTATCTTAGTGGTGTCTAGTTAGTCGTAGAAACTACATATTACTTGAAAAAAGTCACATTGGTTACTTGTCAATTTTCAAAATCACTACCTTATGTCTACATGAGGAGCGGGCCTTAACGTCCTCCTATCTGATAATACAGGACCTTTAAGTTGCCATGACCACTATAGATACATATTGTGTTATGTATACAGAAATTATTTAAGCACATGCGAGTGGTTACATTGTCAGGACATTGACCTGTGTCTGGCTAGAACGATAGGTTTTATTAGGCTTCGTTACGCTGCCTGTTAGACTACGGTATGCAAATATGTATAAGGCAATTATAATAATTGTATCTAAGCTTGGTAGCTGTTTATGTAGTTATCAGATTATTTTTTTTGTTTTATGTATTGTCACATTGTAAACACTAATTGTTGTTCAAGGTATGTAAAGGTAAAAAAATTGACAATCTGATCGAATACGGGGAGAAAACAAATGCGACTTTCTCGTGAAAAAAGTAAGAATAAAAGATTAAAGAAAGAGCAAATATATAAATATTTATTTTTTATTTTTTACGCCTATTTTTATTTTTAAGACCGTAAAATTACTTTTGGCATTAACACATTTTTTTTTATTTAGGCTGCCCATATACCTACGACTTTCAATAATATAACCAGCGTTAGGAGAGTAAAAGAAAATAATATAAAACTCAAAACATTTTCTGGCAAACCTGATATAAGCAGAGGAAAATTCAATAAAAATTCCTATGTACAAAAAATCTGCAAAGTTCTGCAAATAACTTCGTTAAAGAAAATATCATTCCAGTAACAGATATCATCTTGATTCATATATATAAGCTATTGTATCTATTGAAGTTAAATTTTCTAGGATTACTATAATTATATTGTGTATGCTATTATTATTTAAGAAACATATGCCTTCATGATGAGATAGCAAACGGAGACAGACTCTAAATGTCAAAAGAAAAGTAAATATTCAAAAATCAATAGCTGATTTAAATTTAAAAAAGTAACTGCACTCTTCCGTTCAAGAAGGTCAAAGTTAACAAAAGAAAGTTAAAGTTAATTCTCAACAAAAAAATAATATTAATTTCAAAAGCAATGCAACAAGATTCGATACGGATATTCATTGATTTAAAATGTTTTCAATATCTGGCAACGTTAGTGAAAGCTATGGAATATTTTATATTCAAGTCTGGGAGAGTTAAGTTTCGGCACAAATGAATCAGCTCGACCGGACTGACACGACCTTCTCATCGTAAACCAGGGTAATACAACTAACGCGTTGTGTTTCACCGTGTGAGTAAGGGACCATGACCTAGAGGTCCAATCCTTCCCTCCCTCGTCCTTCCATAATCCCTAAATCTCTGGAATCCTAATCCCCAAAGGTCCGTAACGGATTTGTAACTCCTCTGGAGGCACACCTTCCCTGGGCGGCGGCGATGGTCTGCGTCTATATACCCCAAAAGTATATGAGCTGTTAATAAAATTTTCAGATAAAGAAACATTTTATAGGTAGATCTCTAGAAATACCAAATTATATTTAATAGCTACTTTTAATGTTCAAAAATTATATTATTTCAGAACGAGGTGAATGCACCCCTCATCGCATGGATGACGAGTTCTTGATTAAATTCCTGCGCGCGCGCAAGTTTATTCCGAGGCGGGCCCATAGATTGGTGAGTTTATTTTCTTGTATTATGGAGGAAGTGGGCCTAATTATCATTAATTAAATATACGATTGTTTTGCAAAGAGTGAATAAAAAAACAAGAACGAAACCTAACCTAGAACTAGACTTGTACTATGCATGTCCTGTAGTTGTAGGTACATACCTACATATTATATACACATATAAGCTAATATATGCATGTAACAAATCTAGAACCACGACTAGATTTAATATGAATCATTTCAAAATATGGAAGACCTTGAAAATGTACATAAAATGAGTGATACAGTTTCTTTATGTAAATTGTATACTTGTATACATAGAATGTACTGAAATCAGATCATTGACTAATTACAACGGACAGTGTTTGGAAATATTATACCAAGTATTTAAATATCATATCATCCTAAAAGGTTAAATAAACATGCATATTACTAATACCTACAAATAAGTATGTGTATATGTGTATTGTGTTTGTATAAAAATGATGTCAATCTCGCTATTGAATAAGTACATACATTAAATTAGAATTATTTAATTTGAACTAGGAATCGATTTTAAACTGTAAGTAATTTAATAGAATTTTAAAATTAGAATCAGATGACGTGGTTTTTTATGTGATGGGATCAGACGGATTACTTGATGGTAAGCAACCGGTGCCGCCCATGGACAACAGCAAATTAGAGAAGAAACGAATGCATTGACGGTCTTTTGGGGCTTAGGGTTTCGGGGATGGAAGCGAGGATTTGGCAACCACACTCACACGGCGAAACACAAGCTGTGTCTTATTTGCTCTAGTGTATTTGTGATTTACACTAGAGAAAATAATAAGTTCTATAAATATTTTGCATTTAAATTCAATTATTGGCATACAAAAAAAAAGAATTTTGTACAATCCTAAAGATATTAATTATATAGAAACGTTTATGTATATTTAGGAATGTAAACTAAAGAGTTTATTCAAGTATCAATGATAAATAAAAATGTGACGTAGAAACCGTCTACCGTTCTCAAAGCGCCATCGGTCACTTCTACCTACGTCAACATGGTGACGTCAACATCGATATTTAAAGTTATTCTATCATGTTTCGTATTTACCAATGAATTCGTTACATTTGTTGAGATTTACAGAAATATAATCTTCGTTTTCACAAACCTAATTCTGATTGTAAATCGTGAGTCAGGTGGGTAGATCTTTACTTATTGTATTTATGTTCAACCCCTAATGGGCAGATCACGGAGTTTAAATACAAGTCCAATAGAAATAAAAAAGAAATTCAATAAAAGAGGTGGTATATTATATGACATACTAGTTAAAAAAACATTTCTCTATAATTAATTTAGAATTTGTTTTTTTTTTGTAAGTCCTATGTAATGTTATGTGAAAATAGAAAAAATATATCATACTTTAACAATTATTTTTACTTAATTATAATTAAATAAATAAAACACATTTGCAGTGCATAATTATTTGTCGACTTAAAATACATTAATAAAATGACATTTCCGACAAAATAATCTTATCGACAATTGCAAAGAAGCATTATTGTAATTTTAATGATAATGTACTTAGGTAATGTTAATGAGGTTTTACTTAAAATAAATTTATAATTTAAAAATATTTTCTGTATTTTCAGATTGTTAACTACTATCAATTCAAAGAAGACAATCCAGAGTTATTCGAGAATGTCTTTCCACTTGACTTGAGGAAAATTGGCGATGCTAGCGTGATCGCCGTACCTCCTTACAGGGACCAAGGCGGACGCAGACTACTGTTCTATAGAATAGGTAAGAGAAATTCCTAATTATGATTCTAGTGTGATTAAAATTTCTTTAATAAATAATTATTTAAAACTATTCTGCCACGGTAGTGCGTTTGCTGGTTGGTTGCACGCCGCGTGAGCCTCAAAGAGCCAATAGGCCATCACAGAGGGGGTCCTATAGGGCTGATATTCAAGGCACGTGGCCATAGCCTAAGAACAGGAAAAGGAACGGGGAGTTTTTTTAGTCAGTAAGAGCTCCCAGTCGCCCCAACTTGGGCGAGAGAAGTCATTCGATGATTTTCCCTTCACAAAAAAGACACAAACACAATTACATACTAATAATAGATTTGAGAAGACATACCGTTGTAGCCTTTTTCCACGAAAGAGTATGCAATAGATACACTGTACTTCCATTTTCTGCCGGGGTTGCGGGTGCAAGCGAAATAACGTACTTGCCGCAACCCCGGCCTGGAGCAGGAGTAGGAACGAAGAAAAAGGAGTAAGGAAGGGTAAACTCTTTAGATGACTTCTCCCGCCCTGGTAGACGTGACAGGGAGTGTCAGAGTCAGCACCACCTGACTTAGAACCACTCCATTCCTTCTGCTCAGAGTAAGGGCGCGGTACATCACTGCGTTTGCAACGTAATCTTTTCATTAAGAAAAGTTTTACGTGGAAATGGAAACGATTAAAATTGTCTGATGTTAGGTACCTACTAACATAGAACATTATAAGTACGACGAGTAAGACGGCTGAGATTAATATGGTTAGCATATTAATCTCAGCCGTCTTTAAATGCTGAATATATTGAAACTACATATAAAGTTATGGAAATAGAATAATTAGGACGCAGTCGAAATAACGTTATCTTCATTCAATAAAGGTAGCAAAAGGACTGTTTGACCTAGATACGCCCTACAATATGATCCACCATTTACATATACAAGATTGTGTTAGGAATGGGCACAAAATATGGGTTTGATTCTGTTATCTTTCAATTTACGGCCGTAGTTGTATCATTAACCTACTGTAAGTCCCCAAAAGTATATAATTCAATGTACTACAATGGCGCGAATATTTTACTGATATGTACAATTATGTACTTAGATAGCTGTGTGAAATATTCATTATTATACTTTATTATGGTGTTTGAAAAATAATTAACACAAAGTTAGGCGCTTTAAGCGCTACATTATGGCAGTTTTTGTAATTGAAAATAATCTTTACGTAATTTAGTACTTTTTTTTTAATATTAATACCATTTGATACAAAGTGGTAATAACACCTGGCTCACTAAGTTTTCGTGCATACAATACATTTCGAATTACTTGCAGAATTACATGTTTTATCGATTAAAAAAAATATAGCTTGAAGACGCAATTCGTTAGCACAACAGCGTTAATATCTTTTTAATAACTAATATTGCAATACTATTTAACTATATGTATGATTTCCAGGTTGTTGGAATCCAAAAGAAATACCCGTAGAAGACTTGTTCAAAGCGACCATCATGGCTATGGAGCTGGGTCTACTGGAACAGAGGTCGCAGATTTTAGGTGGAGTGGCTGTGTTTGACCTGGAAAATATTGGCACCCAGCATGCGTGGCAGATCACGCCATCTGTCGCCTCCAAAATAGTTAAACTTATGGTGGTAAGTGTTTTTTCTTTTATGTATTTAAACAAATGACTGGAAGTAGGTAATTTTAAAAAAATCCAAATGACACAATATAATCAATTTAATTTAAATTGATATTTTTGATATATTGATGCAATGAAAAGTTGTAAAGTTGCAATATAATCAATTTTCATATTTCAGTTCCATAATAATTGAAGATTAATTCTATTTTTTATTTCTTTTCCAGTCGTGTTTCCCGTTGACAACGCACGCCATTCACATCATCAACCACTCGTGGCTTTTCGACAAGATCTACAACATGTTTAAACCCCTGCTGAACGCCAGCATGCGGTCCAGGATCTACTTCCATGGTCATGACTATACGTCGTTACACAAACACATACATCCAGACCACTTACCGGAAAGATACGGTGGGAAATGGCCAGATTACTCATACACCATTTGGCTAAATTCTCTAAAGAAGAACTTCAGTGTGGCGAAAGAAGTCATCAGCTATGGGTACAAGTTCCGTGAAGAAGAAGTGGACCCTGAGGTAGTGAGGCAGCTGAAAGCAGAAGGGATTAAGTTATATTGAGATTTATAATAGTCAAACAGTCCTTGGACGTTTTTCTAGTGTGTTTAAAATGTGGTTCTTATGTTGTTCGTACGTCTGCGTTTATAGTATGTGTGATTTGGAATGATGATTTAAGCTGATGCTGCAGTCGTCTGCATATTGACTGTTTTATGAAGTGGATATTTTTTAAAGTCATAAAAACAACAACGATTTAATAATTAAATTTAAATAGCTTATTCCAGTTGTAATTACTAAGTTTTTTTTTCTTTTTGGCATATCGACGAATAGGCTAATTTGGAATTCAGTTGTCAGCGAGTAATCGTGTTCAATGAATTGGGATTTTTGGTATCAAATTTTTAAATTGTGGGTCACTCTAAAAATGTATGGAAGTATGCGATCACCTGATAATAATATGATGGAACTCATTTGAGATCCTATTATAGCTATTTCTTCTTTCATTCCTAAGTTAGATTAGTTGTTTTTGGAATAAAACTTGAGATTTCTAGTTTTTTAAGATAGGTAATAATAATTACTGGTTCATATGAAAATTTTAATGAGTAATCAGTTTTTTTATGATTTTTGAGATTCATTGACATGTAGGCAAAAGTTTATTTTTTTTATTCCCGTGAATCAGTATAGTTACTTAGTTATTTTTAGATTTTTAGTTACGTTCTTAATGATTAAATTTCAAAAAAAGTAAAGCTTATACACGATAAGTCTAAGGAAGTTTAGTTTTTTTTTTTAATTTTGGCACCTAGCATTTTTCTTACGTAGATTAATCTTTTGAATCGAGTAAAATAAAAAAGTCAATTACTTAAATAGTTATTTTTTTATTTATCTTGCTTGTATTGTAAACTTTAAGAACATTGAGAGAATTCGTCAAAAAAACCTGTGATAGATGTAAATACATATTTAGTTGATAAGTTATTTTTTGTACTTATAGCTTAATGAATGCCTAGTAATATATTACAAAAATTTGAAAACTACTGGAGTTTTTATTTAATACGTATGTTTCAGTGCCTTATACAATAATCTGAACATCTATATAAAAAAAATTACCATCAGTGTCTTTATTAAGTAATATTTAATTAAAATTTTAAGGTTTTTTAAAAATAAAGCAATACCGATGGAGAGGATTACATATTTTTCATATAAAAACAAAAAAGTGAGACTTTGAGTCTTTAATATGATAGATGTAAGTTAAAATGTCCTAACGGGGTTGACATGTGTTAGAACAAAAGCCCCTAAAACTATTGATTAAAAAAAAAACAAAAATCCTAATTGAGATTGTTTCCAACTACCTTCTACTTGCATTAATATTAAAATAATGAATTTTCTATAAATTTCACTGTGACGTCATATTTTTTCCTTAATAGGAAAAAATATCATATTCGTCATATTTTTTTCCCTTAATAGGAAAAAATATAACGTCAGAGCATACTTCATTCCCTTAAAATATCGATAAAACTACGGTATTAAAAAGATTTTAAAAGAACTAAAATGAGGTACCTATATTATTTTCTTAGAAATAATTTCTATTTATTGAGAAAACTACCCAATTAGTAAATGATTTAATGTGTGTGCTCAACTGTCCTTAAACCTACACAACATTGAACATCTGTTGATCTGAACAATTTGATGTGCACATGTGAACGAAAGATTTTATATACAAGGAAACTAAACTAAAGTAAATAGACATTGTTATATAAATAAATGTGATCGTTTCAATTATCTGTTGAGAAATTCAATGACGCTTTTATACAAATATTTAATTCTCTTTCGAATAATGTTTGTTGTTTGAAAAGTTAGTTTTGCAGCTTCGCCCTTGTATTTGATGTTCTATATTTTAATTGATAAGGTCACTAGCTGTATTTAAATACATTATATTAATGTTATTTTCAAATGTTAATTAAATTCATAAGCTAGTTGAAAAGGAGCTAGATTGAATATTGAGAGCATCATCTTAAATAATTTGATTAATTTGAAAATATATGTTCAAGGATCTAAATGTTTAAGGCGCCTTGCGATATTTTTCTTGTCATTTCAGAATTCTGAAGTTTGGTCATTTCTGTGGTAGCTGGGGCACCAAGCAAAGCTACTTATAAACTAAATGAAAATCAGTAGGGTACTGCATACATGATTTTGTGTATCAGTTAGTTTCAAAAACTATTCTTATATATTTTTGGCTTAGGTTGGCAAACTTACAGATGGATTACTTGATGGTAAGTACTCGGCGACCCATGGACACTCGCAACACCAAAGAAGGGGTTAGGTTAGGCTTGTGGGTTATTAGAGATATAAGGATAGGGGATTTTAGGATTGAAGATGGGGGATGGGCATTCATTCACATGGCGAAACACAACGTAAGAATTGCTTCACAACGCTATTATGTGAAGTCGTAGTATTAGTCCAGTCGTGCCGGTGCATTCGTGCCGACGCATGGCTCTTCTACACTTCTTAGCGACAAATTTACCTTGCACCCACCTTTTTCTTAAGAGCGAGAAAATGAGGCACGAGCTTTTACGAATGGAGTATTTTTAAATAAATATGATACCAGAAACTCGACAATTAGGCAACTGAGTGCTCCGAATTGAACTTTACAATTTTCCTGTCATTGACAAATTAGACCTTTACAATACCCACGCCAGTAAATGAATGAATTTTGTTTATACAACCAGCTTTTATAATGTCGCCATCAAACTTTTATTTATTTAAATTTGTTTAAATTGCCATCTAGCGGAGGCGTAAAGGACAAGCATGGTAGAAATAACTACCTTATGCATTTATTTTATGTAATAGGATGGCAAATGACTGCACGATTGGGGCGGTGGTTGGGCAACTGGCTGCTGTGCAACGTGTCGCGGGTTAGATTCCCGCACGGAACAACAGTTTGTGTGATCTACAAATTGTTGTTTCGGGTCTGGGTGTGATGTGCATGTGAAATTGTATGTTTGTACCTACATACATACTGGGGTGCGTGCCAGAAGACCTCCCCGTGGTGCACCCTGGGTGCGGGCGACAGTCTCCCTAACGGGATGGTGACAGGGTTGGTTTGACTGTCGCCCGCAGCGAACTTCTGGCCGGGCGGAGAACCCGGTCGGGTTCTAGAGGCGACCGGCTCTATGCTGTCATAGGGTCTAAGCCTCCGTGGGGGCGTTCCTCCGCACGACTCTCTGGACCTAGCAGAGAGCGGGGCGGAGAAACAAGGGCGGCGCTCGTTGTGCACTCACCCTGCCAATGAGTAGCATCGGGGCACTAGCTGCGCCCGACTGCACCCGTCGATATCGTAATCCGGGAAGAGATCATGGTCATGTTTTATGACTCGGACCGGGACGAGGGTCTTGGCTTAACCGCCCGGACCGCGAGGAAGATAACCTCTATAAGAAATTCCTCCAATACTAAGTTCTGGTGCGCGGCGAGGGTATGTATGGCTGAGGAGTAGGATCAGTCGTGAGCGCACCCCCAGCTAGGGGACCGGTGGACCCCCCTAGTTGGGAGACAAATGCACACTTACCCAGGGACAGGGGGCTCTCCCTGGGCGGACCTCTTATTTCCCCCATACTCGTGGGACCAATATGGAAGACACAAAAATCAAAAAAAATAAAAATCCACCTACCGGTGAGGAGAAGGCAAGCGAGGTCAGTTCGCTTGGAGGCGATAGCGAGGGCCAGGTTGGCTCTCGGGTTCGTGGGGAGGCGCTGGCCCCGTCCAGCAAGTCTCGGGCACGGGCCCCGGGGAGGAAGGAGTCGGACTCAGAGTCCGACTCATCATTGTCTGGCGTCAGCATCGCGCTGCGCCACAAAAGAGACCGGGGCGTTTTCAAACGTCCCAGGTTGGAGGATGGTCGAGAGCCGTCCTCCATCGAGCAGGAGGCCCCAGCCCCCAAAATCCCCACGGCTGCGCGGGGTAGGGGCAAGGGGAAGGGCTCCACAAGGGCGGCCGGGAGCCGATCTGAGCCGGCAGAGCGGCTGGCAGCGGAGGGGAGCGCCCTGGGAAAGGCTGCCCCCTCGGACTCCTCGGAGATGGAGGCCTCCGGAGGTGAGGATTCTGTAGGCGGCGCTGAGAGCCTCCGCCTCCAGGTTAAGGAAGCACTCCGCATGCTGGCTGGGCAAAAAACCCAGGCTGGCAGGAACGGAGTGCTTAAGCACGCGGAGGCCGCTATAATGTCGGCGGTATCCCAGCAGGGCTCAGCAGAGCGGCAGATGACCGCTCTGCAAAAAGAGATGGCCGGAATGAGGCGCGAGCTGGCCCGATTAGCGGCTGCGAACTCTGCCCTGGAGGCGGAACTTCGTGCAGCAAAGGCGGAACTCGCCGCTGCTCGCGCGGGTCGTCCCCAACCCTCGCAGCCAGTGGAGGCCGACCTTCTTGGCCTCATGCGGCAGGAGATGGCCGCCTTCCAGCAGTGTTTCGACGCTCTGGAGGATAGGCTCCTTCGACCCCCGCTCGCAACTGGCACTTATGCAGCCGCGGCAGCGAAGACGAAGCAACCACCTAGCCGCGGCGTCAGAGCTGACGCTCCGGTGGAGAAAAGGGCGAAAGTGCCCCCTGCGGCGAAAGCACCGAGAGCCCCGCCGCTGACGAGGACGCCCATAGCTCAACCGGCACCGGCTCCTGCTGTGCTTCTGGCACCAAATAGCCGCAAGCGAAGAGGCGCAGCAGCTGAAATTCCAGCCGTTGCAGCCCCAACCCCGCTATCAGAGCTGCGCACCGATGGCGACGAGTGGCAGGTGGCCGGGCAGGCGAGAAGGAGCGCCAAAGAGGCGAGAAAGCGCCGCAAGAAGGAGCAGCGGCAGCGGCGGCAGCAGCGACGCAAAGAGAAGCGCGCTGCGGCAATGCTCCTCACCCCTAAATCTTCGGATGTAGTTATCACGCTACAGCCGGACGCGGCTAAGAAGGGGGTGACATACGGCGACGTCCTCGCCAAATTGAAGGGGACGGTTACTCCCGCGGAGTTCGGGGCCCCTAACGGGTTCGCGGTAAGGGTCACCGCGACTGGAGCCCGTCTTCTAGAGGTCCCCGGCGCGGCCAGCGGCCCATCCGCTGACGCCCTTGCCGAGAGGCGCAGGACAT